ATAATCCAATGGTATATAATATTTTATTATTATTTTTAATTATGGTAAAATATATTACATAAAATGAGTCATTTGGGCCATTTTAAAAGCATTTTTAAGTGTATAATTCAGTGGCATTATCATTATATTCACAATGTTATGGAACTATCAACACTATCTTCTTCTAAAATTTTTTCATCACCCCAGACAGAAACTGTAACAGAGGTAAGTAATAACTCTCCCATTTCCCAGCTCCTAGTAACCTCCAATTTCTATGCATTTGCCTAGTTCAGATAATTCATATAAGTGGAACCATACAGTATCTGTGTTTTTGTACCTGGCTTATTTATGAGGCAGAGATCTTGTATCTCTTATTCACTGTTCTTTTTTTTTTTTTTTAAGATTTTATTTATTTATTTAATGAGAGAGAGAATAAGAGAGAGAAGGAGAGAGCATGAGAAGGGGTGGATTAGAGGGAGAAGCAGACTCCATGCCAAGCAGGGAGCCTGATGTGGGACTCGATCCCAGGACTCCAGAATCATGACCTGACCTGAAGGCAGTTGCTTAACCAACTGAGCCACCAGGCGTCCCCTTACTCACTGTTCTCACTCAGAATATACAGCACATGGCAGATGCACAACAAATACTTGTTGACTCAATTCATAATTTGAAGCAAGTCACAATTCTTTGGGATCTGTTTCTTAACTGTGTATAACCATTCATTCATTCATTCAACATTCTTTTGAGACTTTACAGTTTTAAGCATCGTGCTTACTCACTGAAATATCATAACGTGTAAAATAGCCGTCTCTGCTCAATGAACATTCAGTTTCTTTCTTATATGGGAATGTTATCTTCTTTGACTCTGTGCACTTTTAGGATGGAAATACAGTGGACCGTTGACCAATGCAAGGGTTAGGGATGCTGATTGCCCACACAGATGAAAACTGCCTCTCCTCTAACTTCCGACTTCTCAAAACCTAACTACTGATTGCCTCCTGTTGACTGGAAAGCTTACCAATAATACAACCAGTTGATTAATACATATTCTGTATATGTATTACATACTGTGTGCTTGCTCTTATGATATGCCAAGAAAATGTTATTAAGTCACAAGAAAGAGAAAAATACATTTATAGTACTGTCCTTAGCAAAAAAACACAAAAACAACAACAACAACAAAACCATATATAAGTGGACCTTCATGGTTCAAATTCATGTTGTTTTAAGGGTCAACTGTATACAGAACAATGAAGCATACAGAAGCAAGGGAATCTCCGCCCCACCTCTCAGAATCCTAACTGGGGCAACAGATGTCCAAAGCCATACTGTCTTCAAATCCATTTAACATTAGCTGCATCTTTCATTTCATAGGGTGATAATGAGGGTCACGTGGATACATATATATGTTTCAAACAACAGAACTTTCCATAAATGTAAGGCAAAAGTATTGTATTTTTTGATTTATTACTTTTTATGCTCTAAAAGCTAAGATTAAAGCAAACTACTATGTTATATGCAAATTCTAATGTAATGTACTTATAAAGTTACTGTCAATTGTGGCAGAACCTGGTTATTTATTTATTTATTTATTTGAGAGAGAGAGAGAGAGAGAGAGAGACAGCAAGAGAGGGAACACAAACAGAGGGAGTGAGAGAGGGAGAAGCAGGCCCCCACGGGGCAGGGAGCCCAGTGTGGGGCTTGATCCCAGAACCCTGGGATCATGACCCGAGCTGAAGGCAGAGGCTTAATGACTGAGCCACCCAGGTGCCCCAGAACCTAGTTTTTTAAATCAATGTTAATTATACTGTGCCTGAATTTTGCCAGGTCTGTTCCTGCAGTGTTACATGTTGACCAACAAAGAAAGCTATTTCCAGACAAAGGGGCTGACAAGTGAAAAATATTACCAAGTGGTACTAAAAACAAGGCACTTCACTTTATTCACTTTCAATACCCAGTAGAGCACACAGATACATACCTTTTGACCGCAATGACAGGAAGAGGGCAAGGAGGCCTTACCACCCCTCTCAGCTCTTCAAACAACACTTGAGGATTTCTACTTGAAGGCCTGTCTTTCTAAGCTTGTGCTTTCAAAACGGGCTGGACTGGTCCCAAATACTGAAGTAACAAATATTACTAAATTCTGTCATTTCCTCTACCAAAAAAGTGATTTTACTACTACTTCTGGTTGTGATGAAAGGTCCTATTGACTATTCAAATCCTCAACCAAGTTATGGATGCAGTATTAAATGACTTCACTCCTTTTTCTCTGGCACTTTAACACATGCCAATGCTTTCATCCACCTCCACTAACCTGGCCTATAAATTACTGAGGTGGGGCCATTTTAATAGTATGATTTGTTCACATCTCTAGAGGTGGGGTATAAATGAGACTGGCTGAGAAGAAAAAACTCTCCTTTGACAACATGTATTAATATGTAAGGTATAGAAATATATGTAAGGTATAGAAAACTAAATCTTCAAAAAGTTGGAAATTTTTTCCTGATACAATATATATGATTAGGGCTCATACTGATTAATACTTTTTTGATTTGTTATAAATTGAAATGTAACAAAGTGATGGTATTAAGGCCAAAGACAAAATGAAATATTTCTCAAGAAATATTAGAAGATGGACCATATACAGTTGAAGCAAAAAAAAAAAAAAAAAGGCTTAAGGTCACAAATTCAATAATAGTTTCTTTCTAAATTGTCAGAAGGGGCCTCCTGAATCACTCTGAAACCTAAGACAATTTGTTTATAAAAAGGTGATTGTCCTCTCCTTTTAAAACTGCCACACAGTGATGAAAAATACAGAGGGCAAGATACTTGCTCTCTCTGGATTTAAAGGAGTTAACTTATCAATCTTAAACCCACACACAAGTGACAAGTGTAGTTTCTCAAATCTTCCAAAAAAATTATTAAGTTGCAGATACAAAAAAACTAGAAACCATCTATTGTTTACACAGATGAATAAAACTAGTTCAGCATGCTTGCGACCTTGGTTCAGTTAAGAATAAAGTCAGAGGCTTCTTCTTGGGAAGTGTTCCAGAGTGAGGACCAAACAGGTACCAGAACTGAGTCTGAGGTGCAGGGTGGACTTGCCCAAATTTTCCACTGCACACACCCTCCATCTTTGTCCTGTTTTCAAAGCAAGCTGGACTATTCGTAGCGCCTCTTTCAGCATCCTCTGGCATTCCTATGTGTGTGAACTCTGTGTGCGTGTGTGTGTGTCCACGTGCGCATGTGCGCGCAGCTGAAATTTACCAGGAAATCCAGACATTCAGCTCTAGCCTTAATCAGGAGTAGGTTTCAGAATCTTCCAACAGACTTTGGACCTCACCCTAAGTATTTAGGGCAAGAGACAGAAAATAGGGCAAGGAGAGACAAACCTCTGCATTCAGATCAGAACTTAGTTCCACCAACTTTCCTGACATCCTGCCCCCAAGACTCTGGACTCATGTGCCCTTTTCCACATTGGCTGACCTCACCTGGAGGTCACTTAGCCCTCTTCTCCCTTCATGCACTCTTAGGCCACTTCTGCCTTTTCCACAGTATAAAAACTGTAATCAGAAAAACAACAACAACAACAACTATAATCAGTAGCATAAGACAGCCTTGAAATAAAAGTCCTATTTCTTTCCTTCCTTTTTTTTTTTTTTTTTTCCAAGCAGGTTCTATGCCCTACATGTGGCTTAAACTCATGACCCCAGGATCAAGGGTAGCATGCTCCACCAAACGAGTGAGCCAGGTGCCCCTAAAGTCCTATTTCCTAGACTAAGGTGATTCTCTGCCAAAAGTGGAGAGAGGGAAAGCATCAGGTGTGGGAAGAATGGCACAAGAATGGAAAGATGAGTCACAGGTCAGAGCCTGTGGGCTCTGTAGACTGCCTGAAGTAAAGAACATAGGCTGCAATGGCAGTAATAAGCAAGCAGTATGACTGCGAGGGCGATGAGTACGCACTTACAAAGCAAATGATTAACTGAAGACTGCAGACTAGAAATTTGATCCAATATCAGAAAAGATAAGAATCTAAATAAAATCAAATTAAACATTAAACTGATATTTGATGAGAGATAGCCAGGCAAAGATGATACCATATGGAGGAATAATTCTAGATCCATCAGGAAAGAATAAGAGAAATTTTCAGTGAGTCTTTATATTCATACAGATAAAAGGCAGTCTTTTAAAAACAAAAACATCATAAACCTTCTTGCTTCTATTAAAAGAGAAGGTCTGAGGATACAGCTGATAATGTCTTTAAATAATAGTCAAATCCTGGATGCTTATCCATGTGCTATTCCAACTGAGTATGTCCAAGTGAAAACAACGCACTGAAGCTGATCTTCCTTTACAACTAGAAAATATACGAAATGTCTACCTCTGGAAGCACAGTCAAGTATGCTACAGAAATTCTGCATGGCTCTTTTCGGAAAATGAAAACCCGAGCACCTGTTAGTCTTTCTACAGCATATGGGAAGACTTTATTTAAATGAGATACTAACTGGCTTAATGTCAAGAGAGCCGCAGAAACCCCAGATGGGTTGGAAGGACCACGTGGTTGGTCTTTTCTTTTTGGTTCTTGCAAAACAAGGTGAGGAGACCATTAAGGACTTGCCAGAGGCACTAAACTTTTACTCCATAAACAACTCCCAATGCAAAATGAGTCCCTGAAAGTAGTTTAAGAGAACAAAGTGATCTAAGAGAAGAAAGCTGTGTGAGAAGCTACAGAGGAAAAAAGTTATAAATGGACACATTCAAGTACAGTCTACTAGCAAGTAACAACTTAGTAAAGGGCTTCTGAATTTAGAAGGATTTCAATGTGCATCCATTGCTTCTCAGGAGTACTTATAATGGCATAAAATTAGGCTGTGGCCAAAAAAGAACTTCGCATTATCACCGTAACTGGTTAAATAAAACAGTCAACTGTAGTAGTACTTATTTATAAAGAAAGATGGTCAGCAATCCAAGAAGTAGGTTGTATGTGAGAAGTAGAAAAGAAGTGAAGAGAGGTTACTTACCTGTGCTATATTTTTGTTCAGAAGATAGACACCATAATCAAATTGTAACTTCTCCCCTCCTTTTGGATATAATGGAAACCTTAAAAAAAAAAAATCCAGTAGGATCAGAAGTTTTCCAAAGCTTGAGTAAAACAACCTCCAAGTTGTTGACAAAGATAGAAGTTCCCTGAATACAGCACAAATATGTAAAGACTTGGACTACCAGCTGGTTATAGTCCCTGCAACCCATTATCTTAATATCTTCATAATTAGTCCAATCAGATCAATGGTTCCTTTGTTTCAAAAAAAACTGAGGGATGCCTGGGTGGTTCAGTTGGTTGAACATGGGACTCTCGGGTCATAATCTCAGGGTCATGAGACTGAGCCCTGCAACAGGCTCCAAGCTTAGCGCGGAGTCTGCTGGGGAGTCTTTCTCTCCCTTTCCTTCTGCCCCACCCCTCCCACACATGTGCTCTCTTTCTCTCTCAAATAAATAACTTTCCAAAAAATTGAATAGGTCATGCCACAATGGACTAATACATAAAAAAAAAAATGACCCAACTAACCCCGAGAAGTTGAGACCACTATGTTTCATATTTATGTATCATAAACTTATCACCCTAAACTTAACATCCTAGAAGCTTTTCCTCTAATACTTTGGGCCTTACAGCTCAAGTTCTATTAAATAGAAAAGAAGATTAAGGGGGAAAAATTCAGACTTGAAAGCAACATATAAGATTTCTGTTTCTTTCAAGGTGGCCAGTCAAATCAACAGTACTAATATGAGTGAAAATTCATCCAAAATTCACTCACACCCACAGGCGTGCTATTTGGATGTTATTTCTCCAAGGCAATGTCATGCCATAGAGCTCTCATCAGACTTTCCATTTTAACCTGACTCACTGAATTAACAAAGGCATGAGATTTGTGGATCCTTATCAACATGATGAGTTATTTCAGAAAATAAGTTTCTCTCACTATTACCTTTTCCCTATCCCTGCAAATGAAGAAGAAAATGTTATATTCTACTCATATCTTCCCAATTCTCAAGACTAAGCATACATTTCTATCCTCTGAAATAAACACACAAATACAGATCAATCACAATTTAGATAGGATCAAGAAGAAAACTTCACCTTCTTTAGTTCTGCAATATATGATTATTCTCAAAAATAAAATAATCCTATTGAAATGAATGGAAGGTGACAATTAGTGGACATTCTTAATTTCAACTGCCCGAGGAAAAGATACATTCCATAAAGTCTGATGGATATTGTTTTCCAGGAAAAATAAAGGAAATAATTAAAAACCTTTATATTGGGGCACCTGAGTAGCTCAGTGGGTTAAAGCCTCTGCCTTCAGCTCAAGTCAGGATCCCAGGGTGCTGGGATCGAGCCCCACATCGGGTTCTCTGCTCAGCAGGGACCCTGCTTCCTCCTCTCTCTGTCTACTTGTGATCTCTGTCTGTCAAATAAATAAATCTTAAAAAAAAACCTTTATATTAAATTCTTTTTTTAAAATATTTATTTATTTATTTATTTGCCAGAGAGAGAGAGATCACAAGCAGGCAGGCAGAGAGGGGGAAGCAGGCTTCTGGCTGAGCAGGGAGCCCGACGTGGGGCTCGATCCCACAAACCTGAGATCATGACCCGAGCCAAAGGCAGAGGCTTAACCCACTGAGCCACCTAGGGGCCCCATATTAAATTCTTGAAAGCTGTTGATTATATATAGTTTCCGAAAGGTAAATTCATTGTGCTATAAAATTACAGGCATTGCGGAATGAGTAAGTTCATGAACTTCTTTATTCTCTACTAAGGGAACACCAAATGTTTCATACATCCATCAAGAAGATACAGCTTTGTATTTAATTGAAGCAGCAAAAAATAAAGCAGGCCATGTGGTGTGGCCCTAAATTGAGATACATAAAAATAACAGCAAACTTAGGATAAGCAAAGTGCAGCACTAGGCTTTCCCAGGGTGTTTGGGAATCATCCAAATTTGTATGAGGTAGCTTGCAAAGAAACTAGCTAATTGCAAAGACGTAATAACACAGGGGCCCTCTGGAAGGAATCTAGTAGAGTCCCAAAGCTCTGTATTATGTAGTTGTTATTCTATAAACATCATATGTAGACTATCTGCACAGCTTTCCAAGCCCACATATATCTACACCTTCAAGTTACCAATACAGAAACAGTTTCGAATGTTAAAGGAGTACATTGAAATAAGCACACGCTAATAAGCCAAGTCTCTACATTCCTGAAAAATGGATCTCACAACATGGACTTTATAACTTCATCAGGACTTCTTTATAGAAAAAGTCACAAGGTGTGTATGTAACATTAAAACAAATCTGAAGAGTGATTAAATCCAAAGGTTCAAATAGGACAATTTTAAGACAGATCGATCATTAGGACAGAGTTCCTATCTTACATTGCTTTCAAATTCCTTTTTTTTTTTTTTTAAAGATTTTATTTATTTATTTGACAGAGATTGAGAGAGAGAGAGAGCACAAGTAGGCAGAGAGGCAGACAGAGAGAGCGGGGAAGCAGGCTCCCTTCAGAGCAGAGAGCCCGATGCAGGGCTCAATCCCAGGACCCTGAGATCATGACTTGAGCTGAAGGCAGAGGCCTAACCAACTGAGCCACCCAGGTGCCCCCAATTGGGAAATTCTTATAGGTTATGTTTCTTATGGGTTTTATAATAATCTCATTTGACTATAAAAAGCATGCAGTGAAGCAGCTGGTCCAGGGTTTTTGTTAAAAAAAAAAAATGATTTGCCTTGATCACCTACTCAGTGGGAGAGACATGACTGGAGTATTAGGTCTTCAATTATAAATTCAGTATTCTTTATCGCCTCTAAGTGCTTAAGAGAAGCAGCACAACCAAGATCACTAGAAGAATGGGAGCTCTGGTTCTAAGAGAAATGGTTGAAAGAATAAGAGATGTTCACTCTGGAGCACAGAAGTTGCAGAGAAAACAAATGAAGAACTTCCAGAGAGAAAAAGAATTGTTTTTGTTCTCATGGTTTCAAACAGGGAGAACCGAAGTTAATGGTAAAAGTTACAGGAAAATTGATTTCACCCAGAGTTAGTCAAAATCCAAAAGATCCTAGGTAAAGGCAGCCAATCAGAAGTTGGACAACAAATAATGGACATATATTCAGGGGCCTAATAGGCTGAATGGTGGCCCCCAAAAGGTATGTCCATACCCAAATTCTGTGAATGTGACCTTATTTGGAAAAAGGGCTGCTATTAAGTTAAGGATCCTAAGATGAGATCATCCTCAGTTATCTGGGTGGGCCCTATAGCCATTACGTGTCTGTATCAGGGCCACACAGAGGAACAGACACAGAGGTGAACATCACGTGAAGATGGAGGCAGAAATTAGTTACATAGCCTTACCTGGAACTACTAGAGGCTGGAAAAGGCAAGGAAAGATTCTCCCCAAGAGCCTCTGGAGGGAGTGTGACCCTACTGACACTTTAGTTTAGGAACTCAGGCCTCCAGAACTATGAGAGAATAACTTTCTGCTGTTTGAAGCCACCAAGTCTGTGATATTTTGTAACAGCAGCGCTAGAAACTGACACACATGTGGGGTGGGGGGGACTACCAAACACTGAATGACTCAGTAGACTAGATGAAGTATACCTCCTCCATCTCCAGGATTCTGTAATATTAAATAAGCAAAACTAAATATACTGAATATAACTTCATCTTTCCTTCAGGAACCAAGAAAATATTTCAAGACCGTAATCCAAAGAGTCATAATGATAGTCAACAGCTTAAGGCTGCAAAGTAGATCTACTGAGATGCCAGTAAATGGAATGAGCAAAAAAGAGACTCATATGTATATGAATTCACATATAGATATACATGAATTACTTTCTATGTGTGTGCATGTGTATATACACGAAGAACAAATTTCACTGAATTTGGAAAAAAAGCTGTAAAAGGAAGTGACTATGAATCATTCTTCCTTTAAAAAGATAACAGTTATTAAAAGCACTACCCTCTCCCCAACCTAGACAATTTTACAAAGGATTCCAAATTGGTGACAGTTTCTTGCCTTCACCTTCAGGAACCCACATCAAGGTCTGGTTCTTTAATGGTTCAACTGGGGATAAGGACATGGTATAGTTAATTCAAATTTTTTATTGTGTATATTAAGATCAATTTTGCTCAATGCATCTGTAGAAAACGTGACAATATATATACTCAGTATATTTTGAGGTCATGACCTTACTTCAAACTAACATACTTTCTCCTGTTCAGATTAGTTTCCTACCACCACTTTTATCAGTTACTCAGGCTTAAAATGATATTCAATCTTTAGCCACCTTCTTTGCCCTTTGTATTTGCAATGATTCACCAAGTCAACAAGTCATTTTTCCTTGAAACATTACTATCTCTCCATTCCACTGCCACTCTAGAAAATTCTTTGCTGTTGTGTGCATTACAGGATGTTTTAGCTGCATTCCTGGCTACTCATTAGAAGCCAGTATTATTCTTTATCCTCTTAAGTACAAGTTTTTTTTTTTTATCATGTTGCTTCTCAGCTTTGCTTCCTAATCACTTATTGTCTTCAATTTCCAGTCCTCTGCCCAGCTTTCCAGGCCTAAGGGACCCGGACCTGTCTGCCTGATGTATGTGCAGCTTATTATGCTCAAGTGGTTTCCTCACAGTCTCAAGACACACGAGCTCATCACTCTCTGCCTTTGTGTACTTCCTAGAAATGCTCATCTCCCTTTCCTTCCACCTGACAGAGGAAAAGAGACTGTTTCACTTGGTCATGACTAAAGAAAAGAAAAGAAACATTTTGTTTTTGATTTTATTTATTTATTTGACAGAGAGATCACAAGTAGGCAGAGAGGCAGGCGGGGCGGCGGGGGGGGTGGGAAGTAGGCTCCCCACTGAGCAAAGAGCCCGATGCGGGGCTCGATCCCAGGACCCTGAGATCAGGGCCTGAGCCAAAGGCAGAGGCTTAACCCACTGAGCCATCCAGGTGCCACAGGAGCCGCAGGCGCTCACATTTTTCTACTGAGTTGTATAGTATCACTAAAGCCTTAAGTGTGTGTCACTGCAAGTTGATGCTAATGCGGTG